AGAATTTAAGGCTCTCAAATTGCCTTCCAGAAACACTTTTCTCCACCCAGAAGTGTATGAAAATAATGAGCCTAATGTATTGAACATAAAAAAATTATAAAAATAAAAATATTGAACATTATTTACTATTTGAAAGGATCTGTTTTTAACATTGCTCTGAACACTACTTGATGGCAACTGCCTGTGAGGGCTTTATTTTTAATTTTAAAATTATTTTATTTTTAAAAATAAAAATTATATATACTTAAGGTGTACAACATGATAATTTGATATACATATGTATAGTGAAATGACTACAGTCAGATTTTGAAAGAACAAGGGACGGCCAACAATGGCAAAATACCACACAACAACATATGAACTTGAAGATTATGGACTTTGGTGACTACATATTCATTGGTGATATCTGAAAAATTAATTTCCCTTGAGGGGAGGTGACAGAAACAAATTATAATTCTTAAATATGGAATTTTATCAATTTTTTTCTCTATTTTGCTTCCTTTGAATAATCTTAGGTTTTGAAAATTTTTCATTATATAGGGAAAAACGTTTTTAAAATTCAATTTTATTTTCTACTTTTTCAGGAATGTCAATATTTTTAATCACTTTTTTTCTTTTCTTTTTCTTTATCCACCCTCCCTCAATTATTTCTTGTTGGAGAGCTTGGGTTGGAATTCTTAAATAGCTTCATAAATGATGCTACAGAGACAAATCAGGGATATTCTGTCATTTGCATAAAGAATAAGCCTTTGGAATTCAGTGTGTGAACTTTCATAAGTATCAAATTTGATTTTTGTTTTTGTGTGTGGTGGGAATAGTATTTAGTGTCACTGTTTGAGTCATTGAATGGATGTCTGTTGAGCTCATTAATGTTGCTCATTCAGAGAACCCTTTATGGACATCTACTTCATAAGTTTATTACCATTCGTGGGAAAATATTTGACCCAAATACTCTCTGCTCCTTTGTGACATGGATCATAATTCTACCACAGTGAGCTGTTCATCTTCTCAACCACAGAGAAATATAATTCAGCCATTCCAAATACATATAGATCCTGTTCTTTCTTTTATAGGCTCACACTTGAGCATAAATCTCTTCTGTTTCTTTATCCTCCATTTTGATTCCCAAATTAGAAATATTTTCCCCAACCCCATTTTAACAGAATATCTGGTTCTAAAGCCAGATCTGGGAAAATTCTGACTTCATAATTCTGAAAAAGAACTTCTCCAATTCTCTCAGGATGCTGCTATTTTAGTAACATCTAGGAAGACACATGAATGACTGAGTGGATGGACTTGTTTTTTAAGTTGTCTTGAATTGGATGTTTCAAGTGAAGACTCAATATTTGTGCTTTTTGGTGTCCTTTATTATGTTGGGATAACAAAATCTGCATACAGTAACTTTGGAGAAATTGTAAGATCAATCTATCTTATGACATTTCCCTCAAGTCTTGAGAGAGCACCTTTCTCTTTCCCTGGGAAAAGGATCTCAAAGTTCCTCAAACATTTCTTTACAGTTATCTCAGCTGACTCTTGAAATGTTTCCAGTAGAATAATGATCTAAAAGCCTGATGCTTCTGGGGGAAGATGTTGAGGACAAAATATTTTAGCAAGTATAATTTATATTGATTTTATGACTCTTTCATTGAAGAAACTCTATTCCAAGGCATAAAGTTTACCATTTGAGTACCCATTAAAATTTCAGTATATTTCAAAGCCATGTGATTTATTTAAGTGAACTGGAAATGTTTTGTGAGATACATTCATTCAAGTATTTCTTTGTGAAGCATATTCTGACATTCAATGAATTCATACATAATCTAATGCAGCTCTGGAGAGAACTTAACCATTGCAGATTAGTTAAAGTTTCATGAAGGCCTCTGTTAAAACAAATTTTGCTTTAGATAAAACAAGACTTTTAACTATTCCTCCAGTATAGAAATAGTAAGAAATTAGCCAAGACTTTCTCAGTCAAAATGGGAAAATTCAATTGAAGTGAACTACTTGTGACACAATATATTTAGAATCATAGAAATGACAATTAGAAGTAAAATAATTCTTCTTAGTTTAGAATATTTATAAAGTTGATCACTGTAAGAACAAACACAGATGTGGTTCACAGGAAAGGTGCTAATGTTTGGGTCAGAGAGAATTCAATTATGTTTTTTTTTTTTCAATTAATGCCCTGAAATTGTATCTGATAGTTAATTTGTGTGTTGTAAAAATGGATAGGACAAGAAGATAAAAGTCATCGTGCTTCCTTATGTAAGAAAAGCAGAAACACCACGAAGTTATTCATATCTATTCTGTTTACTATTCAGTTAATGTAAAAACTAAAACTAAAAATAATTTGAGAAATATGTACAATGCAAATTTATTTAGCGTTAGAAAGTTTGAAAACCAATATTTGTCAGTTAAGTAAAAGCCATATTATTGCAAAAGTAAATATCTCTTAATGTATTTGAGAATAATATATGTGCTCAATTGAATATATCTAAAAGATACTGTAACAATCATTTTCTTATTTAAAATATGAATTATTATTAATGTGCCAGAGAGATTAAAAATATGTTACTTAAATTAAAAAATGGCGCCACTAACATCAGAGATATTTTTGGGTTGATTTTTCATTTGTGGTACAACATACCACAGAATTTGGGGTTTTTTACAATGATATTGACTATGTAAGTTTTGAACTCATGATGGTAGCATTATCACACTTCATTGAACCAATGGACCTGAATTGTTCTAAGGTCTATTGGTAAAGTGAAAATTGAGCTCTTGGGCACCCTACCTGTTAGCATGGACACAGAAAGTCTTTTCTGCATTTTTGTCATCTTTAATCACAACATGACCACATGAAATATTTTGATTTGTTGTCTCACAGGTGTAGCTGTTATTATTACTTATTAATACTTATTTTCTCTTTTCACTTTGATTGCCACTAACCACACACATTAGGAGTCCTAGACTTTGGACCCCGTCCTCTCCAGTTCTAGGCCACGCAGAATCGTTCGCATGATCTTTCTCAAACACTGCTGTGGTGCTTTTTCTCCTCTACCTAGGAATCTTCGGTAACTTTCTATTGCTTCTTATACCAAATGTAAACGTTTTATCCTGAGGTAATATTCTCCTTTCGTCTGACCCTTTCTCTTTTAGCAATCTCATTTCTTCTCGCTCTTTGGGGCAGTTTCTGTTACGTCCAATCCCTCTGGCTGCTTTTAGCACAGGCTCTGCCTCTGCTTCCTGCCTGGGCAGCTGTCACTGTGACTCAGTGGGAGCCCACTGCTTCCTGAGGCGGCCCACTCCATCTTTAAACGGGTCAGCTGGAGAACTTTTTCCTTAACTGGCCCGATATCCATTATAGGATAAGGTTTGTGGCACTTTTTCTGTGCTGTGGGAAACGATCTCTTTACCTGACATTTCCCTCATTTCCATAACGTGGCCGCCCCTCACCCCAACACCACAAGAGCTCAAGCCTGATCACGCCCCTGCACACAGCAAAATGCTTAAATAATACCAATTGTTTAACTAAGAAAACATTACATTTTGTACGTTTATATATAATTGGTTAACTGAGACAATGTTACATGTTGTGAATCTCTCCAGACTTAGAATGACTTGGTTTTCTAAATATGGAATGCACTATTATTCTCTAGGTCAGAGAAAAATTGGCATATTCAGTTCTTTGTTATGTGACATTTCAAACAAATCAGGAAAAAATATTGATAGTAGTTTCTACATTTTATAAAGTGAATGTGAAAAAAATATCTTAGCATTGTTAATACAGAAAAAAAAGACAATTACTACTTTCAAATAGCCTATGTAGCCTGACCTTTTATTAGCATCCCTAAATTGTTAGCATGTCCTTGCATTTTAAACTATTTCAAAAATTGTGTTTCCATAACAATTTTAATTGAATCCCCCGAGATGCTATTTTAATCATGGCAATCAGCCACAGCATATAATTAGATTTCAATCAGAAATTTTAATGCTATGTCATAATCTGAGAGTAGATACATAAAAATGTTATGTCTTTGTGGGTCTCTTCTGCCGACCTCCCTCTACCCCACTCAAGTGGACTTGAAAATGGTGATAATGGACCGCAGGCAGCAGAGGTTGCTTTCCATTTGTCCCACACAGCGTGAAACATGTTGTCCAGGGGCAGCCAGACTTTTCACTAAGGCTATTACTTCCCTTATGACCAATGAAAAGGGGCTTCTTTGTCGAATGGCTGCTTAGGGTTGCGAGGGCACCTGTGGGGCCCGGTGGAGGGCGACGCAGGTGCGGAGGAAAGGGGAGAGGGCTTGCCTGCCGCCCTGGGGCTCCCTTCCGCTGCCTTCCAGGTCCTCAGTCACCGGCAGTGAATTACTCTTTTTCAGCTCTTATTATTACTAGATGTCTTTAAAGCCCACTTTTATGGTCTTCCATTAATCATCTGTGTAATTTTAGAAGTCAGAACGCAGGCGGCTCAGAGCTAATTACGCATTCTATTCTGCCGTTAGATACCTGGATGAAAGCCGTGTTCCAACACTCAATCCCTTCCCTAAAACTCATTTCCACAAGTGATGATTTAATGATCTATTTACTTTAAAGGTTTGCCTTTGGGGGCAATGATTATCCTGGTTAGCTCATTTGAAAGAATAGACATTTTCTTTCGTGAAATCAGTAAGTCTTTAGAAAAACTGTATGGGCTTTGAAACTACATTTAATACACAATGTGTTGAACCCTGTGTTTTGACTATCCCAGGTACAGAGGACCAGCTATAAGTATGTAGTGTACGGGAGCCATAGCGCCTGCAATTCTCAAGTTCCACTGATTAAACATGGGAACCAACTGGCTGTGGAAGCAGATGAGAGCAAATTGCAGTTTTGTTTTTCCAAGGCAGCATGTGTGAGTAATAAAAGAGATAAAATGAGAGAATTCTTATATGTGATGATTGCTGATCAGTTTTCCCTGATCACTGTAGTCCTACTAGGCATATCAGGTTACGTACAACTGGCTTGGTGGGAATGCAAACATATGCCTTTTAATTTGATCTCTTTATTTCATTTTTACTCTGCAGTTTTGGGAAACATCTGTCTTCTGTAATAACATCCATGACTTTTCTGGTTAGGTCATATACCTGATTACAAAAAAGAGATAATTTCCCACATTTCTAACAGCAGAGTGCAGTATTTTGCAAGGAGAGGTGACTTTGTGACTTAATATATATTCCTTTCTGTAAGACTGTGCTCTTTTGTGCTCTAATTATTATACAGTTCAATCAGAGTGTTTGCCAAATCCTTCTGTTAAGAACTCTACATGAATATTTTCTAAAACTTAAGTCAGAAATACGACTTCAACCAAGTTCTGGATTTAGTGAGAACAAAACCAAGGTGATTTCAGGCAGGGAAGGACTGCCTCCCTCTAGATGCCAGTGTCCGCCCCAGAACCGCATTTGCGGCAGAAGATCTCCTTGTTCTGGGTGAGGAAGCCTTCTCCCACCAAGGAGACTGAGCACTTCCCGCAGTTAAAGCATTCGCTGTGCCACTGGCGGTCTTGAAAGCAGATGAACTTGGCACCTTTGAGACCTGTAAAGGAGTTGGGGAAAGAAGGAAAGCCTCTTTTCAATGAAGAGATTGAGAATTTTATCAGGAACTCTTCTAGGAACAGGAGATACAAGACTATACGGAGGCAGGCGACCGAAAAAAAAAAGAAAGCTGTCCCCAGGCTTTGGGTCCATCTGGGAATGTCACCCATAAGCAAGTTCCACTGATGGGATCCAGTCGGATTCCCAGTGAAATTTTTCAACAATTACACAAGTAGATAGAATTTGGATATAAAAAGCACATATTTTTGGAAACAGATAAGGACTTGCTAAGACAGAGAAGGCAATGCAGTGCAGTGCAGGGGGAAGAGATACCTAAATACAGATATCTTTGTCCTTTCTTTCCTTGTGCCCTGTTTTCTAAGAGGCAACATTAGAATAAAACAAAATAAATGTGTACTTCTAGCCTGACGTCTGATGTTTTGATGACATTTAGTTCTCTCCCTTCTTTTTCCATGAAATTTTACTTCAGATAAAGTCCCATGGTCATACTCTGGTTTGGGACAGTTTCCAAAAGCCCCAAATAGAGAATTTCATCCAGATTATCACTAGGTAGCCTAACATGACCTTATCACCTTGCCCAGAGACAGCTTCAGCCTAGGCTTGCGGCAAAGATCTGTGAGTCTGACCACTTTGAGGCATTGCTGTCCCACGATTATTTTCTAAGAAGTGCTTTGTCAACCCCTACCACTTGGACCTCACCTGAGCCACAGTGCTTCTAAGAAAGTAGACTCTGAGTCTTAGTGAGACACTATCTCTAAATCCATCATACGAATTCAGGGTACAGTTCAAGGAATTGATTCTGAGGAGTTGCAGAAAAGGAGGAATGTCTAGAAACTGGAAAGGGGTTGGGATGCCCTAAGTTTGGGTCTTTACTTATTTGCCAAGTTTTCTCCAAGTGACCTTAGTGCTGTGAACTTCCTGTGATTTGCTTGTCACCCACAGAGTGAAGCTAAAATAATTCATGTGCTGATTTACATAGAATTTCCAAATATTCCATTTGGGATGGTGAAGTGGAAAGAGTGAATAAGTATTCTATTTCAGATAAACTCCCCTTAATTTATTATAATGAACTTTTATTTCCATCCTAGAAACATTATTTGATGTCTTTACATATAATTTACTAGGTCATAGATATATTTATATCAAATTTCTCTGCTTTCTTTGATTAAACTTATAACTTGCTCTTAATGATCCTATCATGACTTTCTAATAAATCAATAATAAACTAATTATTTTAACATTATTCAAAACATTAATAAACTGACTGCAAGAATAATGTTGTCTATATATGTAAATTATCTCTTCATATGTTCATAAAATTAATTATTATACATATAGCATTTTGATGCTCATGAGTTTTTCTTGAGTTTATTAGTAATCTTGCACAAGTTGCAAATGTAAAAACAATTCTAGAATTTTACAAAGAGGGAGAAACACTGAAGTGTCTGGTAGCAGGTTTTTAAGAAAGGCCTGGCTTAACATGTGATGTTTATAAATTGTTTCAATTTTAGATATGCTTACTCCCTCAGGTTGTGAGGGCCATTTGCGGTAAGAAAGTCATTCAGGAAACAGGTCTCCAGCACCTGTTTTTATCTGGCTTCATTTATTCCTGAAAATCAGTAGAATAAGAGCTAACACTTATTGAGCACTTGAAAATGAGCCCATCAATATTCTAAACATTTTACCTCTTGCTGCTTCATATAGCTCTCACCTCACCTGCATGCAGTAGGCAGTATCACCACCTCCATTTTGCGTACGAAAATTCACAGAGAGGTTCAGTCACTTGCCAGAATCACCCAGCTGGCAGGTGGCAGATCTGGATTTAATCCTATGCCATCTGGTTGCACAGCCTATGTGCTTAACTCCACCAAATTAAGCCTGAGTTTATCTTTTGTAAAAAACATAATCCAAAACATTAGCATCCCTTTCTTAAGAAATCATAATACTTGAAATTCCTTGAGTCAAAATTAACAGAAATAAAAGAAAGCTAAGACGTGATCCTGTTCAACTTGTTACTTTGAAAATAAGGCAAATGGGGGCCTCAGGGGTGACCTGTTTACCCACTGTCACACTCTAGCCAGTGGCAGGGGCAAGACCCAGGTAATTGAATCCCTAGTCCAGGGTACTTCCCACTACATCAGGCTGTGTTATTTATCCCAGAAAAGTTGGAATGGTTAGTCCCTATGTTAGAGAAAGAGAAAAAAATACATAGTTTTACCTTGAGTTTGTTCAGATGACTCAAATTCATTATGATGGAGTAAAAATGTATATCTAATGATTTACGGATATAGTTAATATAAAGTAGTATTTTGGAAACATTGTAACCTAGTTCCTTAGGGTGCTATATCGTTGGTATGAATGTGCAACTTTCAGAAGATAAATATATGGCAGTTTAAGAATTCCCTGTGGTACATTAGTTAAAATAGCTGTTTTAAAGAAGCACTGCTGTAGAACTTACATGTAAGTTTAAGAATTAGATAAAAAATATTGAAGTTAAGTTTGAAGTTTTTGCTGGTAATTTAGTTTCTGGTATCTCTCAGTCACAGAGCCAAAAGAAGATTAAGATAATTATCAAAAGACTGATTATTCTAAATTAAATACATAATCTTGCATTTGGATTACTTGTGGGTCAAATCTTTGGCTCCTGATCATCCTTATGTTACATGCAGAACAATGTGGTTTTGCGGTTGAGCCTTTAAAAGCTGGGCTCAGTGACTGACCTGCAGCCATCCATCAGAAAAAAAAATTTCTTAAGCACATGAATCTGTTATGTATCAGAATTGAAACTCATCAAGTTCAGGGCTTGTGTAGGCTCTTTGCAGATGAATATTAGCCATTTGCTTCCCCAGGAAGTTTTCAAATCCTTTTTGAGTCATTTAATTTTCTCATTTCCTCATGGAAACCCCCCCTTTTTTCTGACTAATATAAGAAAAGTGTTCTAGAACAGGTTGACTGAATCTGTTGGGTTGCGGTTGCAGATCCTACCAAAGAGATTTTGGAGCGGCAGGTACTATTGCATTTCTGTATGCCCTACTTTCTAGATAAAATCAGTGAAGACAGTGGCTTATTCTCTTGACTGCAGGAGTTGCAGATGTGGAAATGGCAGGACAGCAGAATGGTTAGGAGTCCAAGCTTTGGAGCCTGATTGTATGGAATTGCCAAAGCAAGTCCTTAAAAGGGCTGAAAGGAGATGTAAGCGAGTGATGAAAACAAGGTGTGAGGAACAGAGGTAGGATGCCCCTACACAATGGGGCAGCCACCTAGCTCCATGAGAACAGTGACTTGGCTCCAGAATGTAAGGGCAGTCTGCTCATCCTGACAGGATTTTACATTACATCACATTACACTCTTTCCAAGCATGTGCAGGCCAAACAAAACATGGCTGTTGACCAGATGTAACCCATGGGCCAGTGTTAGAGTCTGAAAAACATAGTGCCCCCTATAGACAAATAAGATTGTACTCTGTGTGCAAGGTAACTCTCCGTCTGCACTTGCAAGTCAATGAAAGCCTGCCAAGGTGGGTTTGCAGCAAAACTGTTCTCCTTCTTTATAGACTGATGAAGATTCAACTTTTATTTTGGGATATACTTAACAATGGAGGAGAAGGATATAATAATCTTTAATTCCATGTTACATAAACTGAAATAAAAAAAATATGTAATCTTAAAATAACAGGAATGGGGAAGTCTTCCACATTATTCAGTGACTATAAATTGCCTAAAAGAATAGCCGCTAGATTTCTCATGTGCCATGTTAACGTTAGTTCTTTTACTATAGCAGAAGAGCCCAGTGATTTAGAATAATCAGTCTTTTGATAGTTTTCTTAATCTTCTTTTGGCTCTTTGACTGAGAGATACCAGAAACTAAATTATCAGCAAAAACTTCTAACTTACTTCAATATTTAGAAGACAAGAAGATGCATTATTTTTACTTTGAAAATCTACTTAACACAATGATTCACCATTTTATGTTATTTACAAATCACGTCACAAGTACTTTGTTTCTTCAGCAGAAGGTGCCCTTGTTTTTCTTCATTTATTCACAGCTAAAACTTACGGCAAGGGAAAAGGGAGAAAAGAGAATACTACATTTTTTAGATGCATATTAAAATGAAGTTTAATTCCTAACCTGTTTATCCTAATTGGACAGCTTTGGATTTTTGTACAATACCTACATTTAATTAAAACTTTTTCCATTTTGAGGTCCCCTCACCCTTGTTTGGAATTAGGCAGGATTTTGATTTCCAAGTATCCCTTCCTCCCACTCAAATCCTTAAAAGCTTCAGCCCAGATCAGGCTTCCTCATGCAGGTCTTCTCTGACCTCTCAGTTCATCCTGTTTTCCTCTTTCTCTGAACCATTACTTTCACTGAGAGTCAGCACCATTAGGTTTAGCATTAATTACCCTCTGCAGAGCATAGTTACCCTAATTATACTCTATACTTATCTTGAGTGGCCTGGGTAATATTTTCATTTACACATTTTGTGTTTATCTCAAAGAACAAACATAAGGAAAAGATTACCCATTTTTTAACTTGCCTTGTTGAAATAAACTATGTAACATTAACGTAGCCATAGCTGTCTCCCGGGAGGACTGCATGGAAGAACTCACCGGTAATGGGCTTGGTGCAGGCCGCACACTTTTTGGCATAAAGATGGTCGTAGCAGTCCAAGCAGAATGGATAGTCATCTCTTGACATGAACTCTTCTCCACAGAGCTCCTTCCTGCAGCCACTACACAGAAAACACTCCTTATGCCATGGTTGGTCACGAAACGTTATCCCACCTGAAGTTATCACCTGCCAAAGGATCGCAAAAAAGGTGGTAACTGTGAGAGCTGTTTTTCGATTCTCTTCTGGATCCACAAGTGGTTCTTTGGGCTACTTGATCACCCTGTATCAGGCTTTCCTTTCCCTATGGTTTCTTTTTCTTTTCTTTTTTTTCCCTTTTGAATTGCTGTGAGAAGCAAAAGGCTATAGGGATGAAATTAGGAAAGGCTATAGGGAGCTGGTGATAAATATCCTAATTTTTTTCCCATGATGGAGTGGAAAAAGAAGCAGGGCCTTAGTGGATCCTGAATGATGCAAAAAAGAGTTGGCTGTTGCTTCCTTTTTTCATCTTTCTATGACTTTCTTGTTGGTATTCAAAGATCTGCCATTCGAACTAAGATATTTCCTATACTGTGTTCCATGTTTACCTTTTAAGGATTCTGGGGATAAAAAAAAAAGCTTGCTTTTTTTTCTCCCCCTGAAGGATTTACTCTAGGTTCAAGAATATCCAGCAGTAACAACCTTGAATGGAACTGATAAGCACCATTGTCTGCTAATTATTACTAAAACTTCTTAAGTGTTTTGTTTTCTTTTTTTTTCAGTCCTCAGCCCTGTGCTAAGGAATGACCTCTTCTTACTATTCTCAACATCTTTACACAGTAGGGACTGTTACCTTTCTCTCTTAAAAGATGAGCAATTACTTGGGGTTAGAGAGGGCGTCACTTACCAGGGTTGCACAGAACTAGCATTTAAACCTGCACAATCTGACTCCACAGCCCGTGTGCTTAAACACTATCACAATATTGCAAGATAACTTTGGAGTGGTCAACAGTTAAGTCCATGTTGAATGAATGAATAAATGAACACCAAGAGGAAGAAGTGTTCGGAAAGCAATTCCAGTATTGCATCTAGCACAAATGGGGTACTGCGGGCAACTGTGTGCGTTTTTAGCTTTAGGACTCGAAGTAATGAGCACTGGTTGTACATTGAGCCTCAATGTATGATGTGCTAGAGTTTTGTCAGAGATGGTTATTATTCCTCCATAATATAATATTTCTCTAAACTAGTTTAATCCATGGATTCCACTTTTTAAAATGCAGAGACATCTTTCTTTAGAATCAGATGGATAAATACTAGACAACTCTTCTTGTGTAACAGTTTTTAAGTCATAACATCTTTCAGAACCATTTCTATTGACCTGCAGTATCTGTGTGACTTGGAATGTGTTTGTGTCTTGGAAAGACTGAAACTATGTTGTATCTGAGATGGCTCTTGTAATCTTTGCATTTAAATTAACTAGATGCAAAAATGGAGAGCCTGTTCTAGGCCATCAATCATATCATCGGCGAATTTAAAAAATATATTATTTGTCTGTGACAGAGGGTTTTTGGACACGTATATTAAAGATATTTTAAAATCTAACAACAAATATCTAAAAAATTAACGGTATTTGAAAGAAAATTTATTTTTCCTAAAGGAAAAAAAAACTATACTATTCTAACTAAGTAAATGGGAAACATAATGGTGTGTGTGAACATGAGCAATTTAAAATATTCCCTGCTGACTTTGAATGCCTTACAGCAGGCAGGCATAGCAGAATTGAAGAGTCATTTGATTTGTTTGGTCAACTGATTAGCAGGCAGTGCTTAAAAGATACAAACTTGAAACAAATATATTCACAGCAAAATAAAATGATATATATAGCAAAGACTATTTAATTGGGGAGAAGATGCTCTGGAACATTAAAAATAATTTGCTTTTGTTCCTTCATATATATTGTCAGAAGTGGGATCGCTGGGTCAAAAGAGAGATGCATTTTTAATTTTTTGAGGTATCTCCATAATGCTTTCCATAGTGACTGTACCCATCAGCATTCCCACCAACAGTGCAAAAAGGTTCCCTTGCTCCACATCCTTGCCAGCACTTTTGTTTGTTGAATTATTGATGACAGCCATTCTCACAGGTGTGAGGTGATACCTCATTGTGGTTTTAATTTGCATTTCCCTGATGATTAAATATGCTGAGCATCTTTTCATATGTCTATTGGCCATCTGTATGCCCTCTATGGATAAATGTCTATTTCCTGTGGTTATTGCAGTGTTATTTGCAATGGCCAAGAACTCAAAGTAGCCCAGGTGGCCATCAGTAGATGAGTGGATAAAGCAACTATGGACATTTACACAATAGGGTACTACTTGGTCACAAAAAAGAAGAAAGTTTTACCCTTTTCCACAGCATGGTTGCACCTGGAGAACACTATGCTAAGTAGAAAAAGCCAGTCAGAGAAAGACAGATACGATATGATTTCACTCATATGTGGACTGTAATGAACAAATTGAACCAACCAGGAAAATGGGTGCAGACTCATAGAGGCAGAGCAGATGACAGCTCGTGAGGGGGCGGAGGGATGGAGCAAAATGGAGAAAGGACTCATGGACACGGACGACAGCGTGGTGACTGCTAGGAGAGGGGATATATGGAGACTAAATGGTAACGGGAAAAATACAATGAAGATTAAATTAAAAAAAGAATTTCAAGACAATAAAAAAATAGTTTGCTTGTGATTATGTTCCTCTTGAAGAGGTAGGTGGGTTAAAATGAATCTAATATCCAAGCTTAGTTTTTGCCACTGATTATTCCCAAGATTTAGATTAAGTTTCTTTTCTGATGAAGTGGAGACAATAATGATTTCATACTCCGTACGTGACAGCTGATGAATTGCAGGATACACTATTTGAAACCTAAGAAGCTTGAATTCAAAGCACCTGTAGTTTGAGGTTACTTGCTGTGTGGTAGAAAATAAATTTTCTGTTCACAAAATAAAATCGATCAAAAAAGTTCTAAGGGCCTGACTGTTAAGTAGGTTTTGCCTATTTTGTTTTGTTTTATATATTTGATCTTTGGTTGGGTTGAAATGAATTGTTTTTCTTCAGCTTGGATCATCTTGATGAGAAATATTTATGTCCGGCTTTCTTTAAAGGACTTGTGGCTTAAAAAATTAAATAGAAAATAGTCTGGCATGCCATGATCTGTCTACTACCCAGTATAAACATTTCATAAATGTTTGGTGACCTCAAATCATATCCTAAATATAGGCCAGGCTCCCATATAACCTGGGAAATGCCAGTGCTTTGGCCCTAGACAGTGCTCGGCAGTTGAAGTACTAGAGAAGTTCCCCTCTGAATCCTTACTGTATTGAAAGAAACTTTATATTGTGTCCCCCAATAAATGTGTTTAAGGTAATTCCCATAAGTCTCATTAATATCTTAGGGTAAATCTTTAAGAAATAGCCTAAAAATGGCCAACTTAATTTTCCTTCAACATAATGAGATAAATCTATCCATTTTTATTTCCAGCATCTGTTTCTAATAACAAACTATAGAAATGATCCCTGAAAGTATAGTCTTATTTCCAGCATCTGTTTCTAAATGCATGTCTTTGACTTTGGTGATTTTTTGGAGCTTCACATGTCACACAGTCACAGGGTCTGACTGTTGTTGTTAAAGTCATTTTCTAAGTCATGTTTCTGGTAGTGTAATGGAAGTCTCCGGGTATAGGATGTCGCAGTACTGTCATTTGTAATTTTCAGCCATCATTACAGTGTAATTTAAAAATTATAATTTAAGGGTTTATTGATGGCTCCTCAAATGCAGTAGTAGTATTTTAAATGTACCTCAGAAATTACTGGGTGTGCATTTATGTGCATGTATGTTTGCACATGCATTTATAGAAAGTGGAAATGAGCCTTCTAGCTGTCCAGATGCAAGTATACAAAAGGTCCAAAGAGATCTGCCAAAGTAATCCATATATCAAGTGTTTAGAAATGACTGTACTAATCCAATGTATTTTCATGATTCAGTTTTCTTGTTACAATTTATAGTGCTATTTTAAACTGGTGATGCCTCACAGGTCAAGGATTTCTTCGAGAACATCAATATACATATTTTATGGACTAGAGACAAGCTTTATAAAGGTGATGGAGTGACTTTCACCAGAAAAAACCCTTAGAAGATAAAAAAGAATTAGGCAAAGTTTACTTGAAAAAGTGACTTTTTTCCCTATTGGAAAATATGTTTGGAATGGGTACCCATGTCAAAAGGCGCCACAGGATACTGCCGTAGAACTTGAAAATGAGGGAAACCACTCAAATCTCTTCGCCTTCTTTCTGTCTTTATGTCTAATGAATTTCCCTAAGGACCTCATCACTCTTTTGAGCCTACCTATTTACTCTTTAGAAACATAAAAGCTTCAAGCCAAGATGGCATTTACATTGCTGAGACATAATGTGAGGAGGGAAACCTCTTTTTTAAATTGGTTCGCTTTATCGCTCTGTGAGGTAAATCTGTATTTCTCTGAAATCGAATGGATTGAAAATTATTTTCTTTGTAATATTTTGTTCAAAGAGAGATGAATGTTGTAGTGTAAAGCAGTGAGTAGAACTGGAATATCAGGCCACTTGAAATTTTGGAATATTAAAGTCATGTTCTGGGTGGAATTTTATGGCGATAAGAATATAGATGGCCACGCTCACAATGACAGGTCGGACATGCCAGATTCACACTCGCATCAATGTATAACGGCAGCTATAACACTGTAGTATCAGTTCATTTCAAATATGTAGTGCAGCTAAAGCAGCAGAGTGATCTGGAAAATTCCATATGCTTCATTCTCTTCAGATAATTACCTTCTTGCAGAAGCTGCAGTAGTGAGCAAACTCCTTCTCAAAACACCCCACACAGTAATTGCCACTGTCTTTAGAAATCAAAGGTTTAGTTCCTATTGGCTGTCGGCAATGCTCACACACAAAGCAGGTTTCATGCCAGTAGTTGCCCTTAAATTCCATTTTGCGGGAACCTGTACCCCAAACGTAAGAACCCGTTAGTACAAATCAAGCGTAACTTTGTTTTCTTTTAAGCAAAAATATACCGAATTACTTAAAACACTATTTTAAAGTTAAGATAATAAACTAATTGCCCTTATGAAAAATAATGTCTTGTTGGTTTCCAAAACATTGATCTGTAAAAAGAATAGAGTTCAGCCGCAATGACGGTTAATCATACTTTCCCTGAAAACTCTTGTGCTCTGTAAGCTACAATTTTGAAATGTGAAAGTATTATAAGTGGAGACTTGGAAAGGCTGCGTGCGGTTTAGATAAACTGGGCCCTAATCACCATTATAGGAACATTAGGAACGCCAGCGCACAGACTCCTGGGATTGACGGTGTGCAGCTATGATCTCCCAGACATTCTTTGAAGCCATAATAAGAAAATAAGCCATAATTGTGTTCTTATGTTGCTGTCTATACTGAGAAGAGGATCAAAACAGAATTAGTGCTGGCCTGTAAGTGTAGTGAATCCTTTTCTTCCCTAAGGGAGAACAAAACCTGCCACTGGTTCTATATAGGGCAGGGCGTTTAATGCAATGTTAGTATTATTGGTATAGATTTTACCTTTATTCTATGGCTCACATTCTAGTTCAAAATGTTCCTATGTCTTAGGTTTATGAAAATACACAGAACACCCTAATTTACCCATTCAAGACGGAAATAATAATAATTTATTTCTACAGTACACTACATGAGAGCAAGAGATAGCAAGAAAGGTGTTTTCCTCAGAGGCAGGTTTTGTTGCTAGCTGCCATATTTTTCCTGTGCTTGGGCTTAATTCAAAGTGTTGCAGCTTCAGTTAGAGAGCCAACCCGCCTTTGATCTTACCAGGCATGATGGTCTTCTTGCAGTGGAAGCACTTGGAGGAGCACTCATTAGAATAGCACTTCGAGCACAGCAGGCGCTCGTCCTTGGCCACAAAAGGCTTTTCCACCAAAGAGTGATTGCACTTGGCACAGTTGAAGCATCTTTTGTGCCAGTGCCGGCCTTTGTAACAAAGATCCTTCAAGACAGTGAAAAACTTAATTAAATGTGTTTGCGATAAAGCAGGCAATTTTATAAGACACAACTAAGGCTCGTGGGACTCTGGTGCCAGTAGGTTGTGCGGGTAGCTCGAAGGAAAGTTGCTACTGATACCATTACCCAGAGACAGGAGACTCCCTGGGGCAACTCAGAGCTAGAGCTTGGGGCTTTCTTGGTTGGTCACCAAAGACAGATGGAAAATAAATGGACCCTTTCCTACTTCAAGTTTTCCTGCCTTCCTTTTATGAACAAGAGGGGTTTTTCACGGAACAATCTTTACTTTTAGATTGTCATCTTACTGTTATTTGACAAAGAAACAAAATCTTGACACCGTCTAACTAAAAAAAAGAGCAAAATGATGAAAAGGAAAAAGGAAAAATACAATAATGTGCCTGTGGGAGGAACTACCTGTATGTGTGAAGGTATCGGCACACAATGGATATGGAGATGAGGCTGATTTGAAGTCAGAAAACATTGATTTTTGAATCTTTACACATCCAATTATCTATGTATTTATTAGTTTATACTCTTGTGATTTCAGAGGTAATGCAACATTTTATTTGTGTAACTTTGGACAGATAACTTAACCTCTTTAATATTTAGCACCCTAAACTGTCTCTTAAAGTCACTGTGAGGGTTAAAGTATGTGTGATATTTCATACTGCTAAACATAGCGCTTGGAACTTGATGGATGGTGACTTGGAAGATCCTTATATAGTAGCAGAGCAATAGAGTATTGACAGTTAATTAAAGGAAACGAGGCAATCCAAAGCTTTTGTCTGCAAACTAAGGTAAGACCTACCTTGGAATCTGATTCAATTGTTTCTTTGCACTCCTCACAGTAGTTACAAAAGACACGATCGTAACAGGAAAGGCAGTATGGGTTGCCATCCTTCAGCATAAACTTCTTCCCAAGAAGTGATGTTGTGCAGTATTGACAGTCAAACTGAGAAGCTGTCATTTTGTTTCGATCCTGTGAATAAGTAGAGGATTCATGTATATAACAGCAAATTTTGTTGTTCTCAGAGATTACAAAACTTCAATGGGGGTCAAGCACTGTAATGAATTTATATTTTCTTAAGAGGAAATTCACCAATTTAGGAAAATAGGCTACAGTCACGGTTCAACTTGGAGCGATTTAAGAAAGGCCACACTCCTGTTACGGCAGTTCTTGTGTATTTCGCTAAGAAAATGCACCAAGCCACCAAAGCCAGATTGTGCAAAACATCTTGCAGTCATCATTCACTAAATGTGGGATTCAATGAGAATGTGATCTGTGCTGAAATAGGATGGTTTCACCGCAGGGATAGAAATGTGAACTGTCGATAGGGCTTTCGCTAACTGTCATCACTTACTTTCTTGTTGGAAAGTGCTGGGGGCAGAATCCCATGGAGATAAGAACATCTTTTTTATCCTAACTGAAATAGAAATTATTAATAGAGTACATTGCATTTTCCATGCCTTCTTTTAGTTCTTAAATCTTTATCGGGTACCTAATGATTTGGACACATTAGTCCTAAGATCTTCCTGTACCATATAGTCTCCCTTGGGACATGCTCCTTGCCTGTGACTTCAATCATTCTGTTGACTCCAAAATCTCTTGCTTTAGCCTGTTTATGACTTGCCTCCTGGGCATTTTCATTTAAATATCATACACCAAGCTGGCCAAATGAAACTCTTTTGAAGGTAGGATTCAATCCAAGTGCCAGGTCTTGGTGACTATAGTTGAACAATTGCCCAGATGTAGAAGTGTATATAAAACCACCAATGGTAGAAAGAGTTATAGCTTTTCTACATAACATTATGTAGAATGAATAATAGCAGCAGCATCTTACAGAATGAAAAGCTGATATGAAATATAAGGCCAAGGCCAGGGTAAGAATTGTAGTTATTTTGTATATTTAGGAAAACCATTAAAGAACAAAATATAGATTTCAAAAAGTTTACTTAAGACATTACACATGAGTTTTTCATTGTCATCAAAAGCAGTAACACTGATTGTCTTCAAAAGGGAGATTTATCATCTCTGGAATATATCGAGAGCTATGAATATTTTCTACTTTCCACCTCAGATTTTTTAAATGTTTGCAAAATCAGAAAATCAATCAATTATTTGCTGCTTTTTACAGCATTATAAATGCTACTTTTTGTTTGCTACATTTCAACTGTATTCCTGCTCATTTTGCCTTCTTTAATTTTAATGATGATGTTTCCAGCAGAGTGTCTTGCTGAATATACATTTTCATTGATTCTGTGTGTAGCAGTTTTGCTATATTGTTCTCCACTAATAGAGAAAAGATTGTGAATTTGAAACCTGTGAGTCTTTTCCCAGGAAATATGAAAATTCAGACTAGAAAGTTCCCAATGGAACATCCCAAAATTATATGGAAGGAACATTGAATTTCATATTTGATTAATTTTACAGAAATGTGCCTTCCTAGGGAGTGCAAGCATGTTTAATGTGTGAATGAGGGATTGGAAACAGGAAGAAAATAGATCTGATTCCCTTGAAAGGTTTTAAAATGCAAGTATTATTTTCATTTACAATGATCAAGTGTTTATCTCTTATTAGTGAAATAGGGCATATACTTTTAACTTTTATCACTTAATATGGAAAATACCACTTTCAGCATGCCTATTTATTTAGTGTTAGATGTACATAATAGCGCTGTGAAGCCTGGCCTCTCAGGACTTGGGAACGCCCAGACTACTTCCATTTTGTAAGGCTTCTGCTGTATTATAAAATGAAGAAACCACCAAAAGGATTACAAAATTGGTAGAGGTTTTCAAATATATAAGACACATTTAATTTCTTTAGTCAATTTGTTATTTCTTGTACTTTACATATATACAAGAAACATTCTTTCCCACATATGTGAAGTTTTATTTTTAAAAGGTTTTTAAAAATTAGTGGATGATAAATGAGTAGAGGTAGTATGCATTAAACCATCCTTTCTTTATGTTTGTCAACAGAGAAATAATCCAGATGGTTCTGGCATATCCAAAAACAGGTTTTGCATGCTAATGGTGGTAATGGAAATTGTCCTAACAAGGAAGATTTGGGATTCTGCGAGCTGATTCACAGGGTCAGCTGTCGAGGTATACAATTTGAGATGCAAGAGAAAGAAGAGGGAGACAGTAAAGTTCTTCCTCTTTGTCTCTCAATGCTCAGTTACCATGGAAATGTGCAAAGCAAGGACATGGCTGCAACATACGTGAGCTTCATGCATAAGCATTGCACAAATTAAGGACAACCTGTATGTGTCCTATTACTTTACTGCCATAGGTTACAATTTTCAAAAATGAGCGGGTTTTTCCTTCTTACAGTGGAGTTGAAATGTACTAGATAATAATGTGGGCATTCGGTTTCTGATGTGTCTATGCAGATGTGTTTCTGAGGAATTTTATTTAGTTAAGGGAATTGAATTACCATATATCCTTTATTGTAAATATCAACTATAAGTTAGTATATTGATTTGCTTACACTTTTTCATTCCCCATGGAGGCAGGTAATACTATATAAAATCATCACATTGATTACATGTCTTAAAGTAGAGGATATACAGTAAATGGTATCTAAGGTTACTTCTATCTCTGATACATGATCTATAAATTTTGCTAAGTAGATACAAGTGATGCCATAGTCACTACTTTTGTATGTGTCAAAGTGCAACTGTTCTTTACAGTTTGTTTTCTGGCTTAATTTTCATCTGGCTATTCGCAGTAGCTTCACTCTGCCTGCATAAACGCATCTATGCTCATCCAAAAGTGCTGCATGGCTATTTCAATTGCCCGTTCAGGTCTTTCATTGATTCTTTAAAGCAAATTTGATTCTGTTTTTCCTCAGGGGAGAACTTGACAGAATTTAAATCCAAATGACATAAGGAATAATAAAATGCTCTAGGAAAATGTTACTACAAAATATTGAAGTCTTTAAAACATATCTGATTGATGTACTGAACTTGGACAGAGACAGAAACTGAATGCAGAATCGGGTGTTTGTTTTTTGTTTTAATTTCAATGATAGAATTTTATTTTATTTTTTGCCTTTTTTATTATTATTTATTGTTATTCTATCACAGTTGTCCCTTTGCCCTCCTCCATCCATCCATCCCCCCTGCTCCCACAGTCGATGCAGAATCTTAATTTGAAATGTATTTAAATGAATTTACCTGCAGACATTTTCCCATTTAGGATTTTATCATTTGAATTGCTGCTCTGAGGGTAGGCAGGGGGCTGACGGCCAGTCAAGAGCATTTCGGAAGCCTCATTGAACAAGGTAGTATGTTGCTCTATGCTTTATCGAGGGTTACAGGAACCATTTCCATGCAGAGTTACATAAACCACCTAGTCTCCTAAGGCAACTTTCATTCTCTTTTCTGCCTTCCCTGCCTGCACCCTTACATGGTTTTATTGGATACCATACATCCTATTGATTTCATTTCAGAAGCATCCATTAAATCATAATTTAGGTTCTCCTCATATCTTTGGAGGACCACATCAAACTGAAGATATTATTTAAGATTTGTTAGTCTCTTGAGTGGAACCAAGCATATTTCTACTACACGACTTTTGTTCTCCGATGATAAGCTCAACATTTCTAGGGAATTTCAGAATATCCACCACAATGCTTAAGGAAAATTTTTCTCAGACTCATCTGATCATATCCCTTCCCTGGAGGAAAACCCCCAACTGCTCTTCTTTGGTTATGAAATAGTCTCAACTTCATCACTTAGCATAGAGACCCTGTACTAGCATTTCTGCTTTTCCTCCTATTCCTTTATCCCTTTCCCAACCTCGCACTGTGTGATACACTCACATACCCCACCTATGCTTTGGCCACTTCTAATGGCTTCCTATTCTTCAAATACATTGTGTCCTTTTATGCCTTTGGGCTGTGGAACATGACTTCTTTTTTCCCTAATGCCCTCCTCCTTGTCCTCCTCTGACTTCATCTACCTGATGATTCTCCTCATTCATCAAAGTCCAGTGAAAAATCCTTCTTAGTAACTTTCTCATATCTCTGAGGACAGAGTAGCTGCTCTCTTTAGTTCATACAGATGTCTATTTTTCTTGTGCCATGTTTTGTATCAGTTGTTTTGCCCTGTGTGTTTCTCACTGGTCAGTTACTCAAGAGTAAGGACGTTGCTTATTTCATCTGTGTGTCTGTGTCTCAGGTCTGAGCATAGCAGGACCTCAGAACATGCTCTGTGACTGAAGAAACAAATTAATGAGGAACTTTCTGTTCTCTGAGGCCTTGGAGTTCAAACCAACAATAATGAAAGCACATGCAAAGAGGATTAAATCAATAGCATAAAGGGTAAAGGCTCAAATATAAAAGAATTAAGAATATATGCTGTATGTTTACTTGGGTGGTGAATTAATTTATATCTATTATATCTGTGGCTAATTGAGAATAAAGGTTAGAGAACACGGGGTAAAGCCACAGGGCCTGTCCATGGCAAGGGGAAATATTTTACTCTCCCTGTGAGGACAGCTGAAGAAGACAGCTAGACTGTCTTTGAACACTAGCTGAGGAGGATATCAAAAAACAGTAGAAGTAGTTCCTTAATCTGTGGACATTATTAAACAGTTTTTTTTTCTAAACTAGTGGTACAAATAAACATTCACTAACAATTTTCCAACTGTTTGATCAGACACTTCAGTTCTCTGTTGGAAGCTACACCAGCTTTTCTGGCAGGTCTGTGCACGTGACATTTTGAGAAAAACCATCTCTTTACCAAGATGGCATGGTCTTTGTCTCCTGAGATCTATGATATTAGCTGAAGGGTTGTTTGACTGAATTTGACAAAATTTAGGGGAGTTAAGATATATGAAAAAAATAAATTGTTCAAGACTGTAAACTAGGCCTGATAAGCCCATGTTCTAGAGCAGAAACATTTAAAATTCACATATTTAAAAAGATATGAAGAAATTAAAATAACTAGTAAAGAAGTTCTACTTTTACGCCTT